GAAACAATAAAAGTGACCCACAGTGGAGATGTCCTGCTGATTAACGTTGAAGCCTTCTCCCTGAGATTTCACAAGATCTGAGAGAAAGAAGCTTCTGGAGAAGCTATATGCTATCTACTGCCAGCTTGCCTGGCAGCCTGGAACCCCTGTAAATTGGCTTCTGGAGGCCAGGCTACCAGACCACACAGGAGTGGGAATGGCTTCAGTCTTACAGGAATGAGTCCCTGTAACCTGGGGCCCGCACTGAGCTGGGCTAGTCTCTCTAGGCCCCTGGTTCTTCTTTTCCTTCTGCTACTTGGAACAACCCCCTGAATTTCTCTGTGTTATTTACTTTTACTGTATTGGAATTCCCAGAAGAGGCAACTTAATGGGAAGAGGGATTTATTTTGGCTTCATGCTTTAAGAGGGTTGTCTATCATGGAAGGGAAGGCAGCAGGAACATGAGGCTACTGGTTACATTGTACTCAGGCAGCAGAGCTCAGGCCAGAACCCATAAGGTCTGCACCTTACCAGCCCACCTCCTTTAGCAAGGCCCCACTTCCTAAAGCATCCAGAACTGCTGCAAAAAGCTCCAGCTAAGGACCACCTGCTCAAACACATGAGCCTGTTAGGGAGTGGTATACTCAAATCAGATACCCGTTGTCATTCAGGTCAGAGCTTTGGCAGGATTTCTGCAGAGTTGGGCAGAGCGGGTCAGTGACCTCTCAGTCACCTGCTTTCTCAGGGTTGTCTCCACTTTCTGCTACATCGGCCATTTGTGCGTTTTGGTGGTGGTGTTTATTTGTTTCCGTTTGTCAGTTGGTTTTTTGAGACAAGATTTCTCTATGTAGCCCTGGCTGTCCTGGAACTTGCCTTGTAGACCAGTTTGGCCTGAAACTCAAAGATACACCTGCTTCTGCCTCCCAAGTGCTGAGACTAAAGGTGAGCCATCATGCCTGGCTGCCATTTATGCTTTTACAGTTGAAGAACAGGTTGGGGACAGTGCTCAGTGGAAGGGCAATTGCCTAACTTGCAAGTGGCCTTTGTTTCGATCCCTAGCACTGAAAAAAAATGTAGTCATTGGTCAGTTAGCATTCTGAGACTTGTCATTGATGAATCCCACGATGTGAATATAACAGGACATTGCCACAAACTTTGATGTATTGACACTCACTGTGGCCTCTTACACAGTAAAGACATGTGAATATGAGATGTGTAAGGTGGCTGCCAGTGTCACAGTCATTACTATAATCTAGAGTGGTTGTATATGACTGTCACTGTAGAGCATGTAACATGTTACACTAGGACATTAAGCTGTCTGTTGTAGAAATTTTTAATTCCAATCTGGGGTTTCTACTCTGCCCTTGACCATTTAGTTCCTGGATAAAACACACACACAACCTTTATATTTACAATAAGCCTTAAACAGCACAAGAGCTGGGCAGATATCTATTCACCCTCTATGCTGTTAGAATCTACTTTCCTATTGATAATCCTGAGTTATTACTTACTATATTTCATCTAGGCTGCTCTTAACTCCAATTGGCCAGCCCTCAGGGCCACGTTTTCATGACTCACCTAACCCAAGGCAGCTTCTCTCTCCTCACCTTCTCCCCTACTGCTTCTCTTCAGACCCTCAAGCCTGGGAACCTTAAACCCCACCCATGTCCCTTCTGCCCAGCTAGTGGCGTCAGCATCTGTATTCACCAATCAGAAATAATTTGGATCACATAGCTCACTTAGGTCTGCATGGGGCAGCACTTAGCATTACAATACAAAGACTAAACCTCAATTGCTGGTAGGGGTGTCATGTAGCAGTAACATTTTTTCACTATAATCCAGTGGGGCCACTGTCACAGAATTGTACATATACAGACCTGTTGACTGAGATTTCTGAGGTTGTACTCACTTCTATTTAGGGTCTGTATTTTTTTCTTTTTATTAATATTTTTTGTGTGATATATATATATATATATATAATGTTAATGTGGTATGAACATATATTTTTGTAGGTCCCCAGGCATGTGAGTGCTAGTGCACATGGTTGAGTGTGCATGGAGAGGCCAGAGGTCAGCACTGAGTATCTTTCTTGATTATTACCCACCTTAGTTTTTGAGACAGGGTTTCTTATTGAACCTGGAACTCATTGATTGGCTAGGCTGTTTGCTCCAAGGATCCAACTATTTCTACAGTAACCCAATGCTGGGATTACAGGAATACACCATAATGTCTGGCTTTCACATGGGTGTTAGGACTCTAACTCAGATCCTCAGGCTTGCACAACAGGTACTTATTAACTCATTGTGCTATCTCTGTACTCTCTCCTTTTGTGTTGGAAGCAAGGTCTCACTCTAGCCCAGGCAGACCTGAAACTCATTGCAGCTAAAATAGCATCAAACTCACAACACAGTTGCTGTAGACTCTTGAGTGTTGAGATTACAGGCGTCAGCCACGACACCCACCAGGATCGGAAGCTTTCATCTTAGACTGGTCCGAGGAGCCCACACTGCCACGAAGCCTGTGCTGAGTGCCTCACCCAGCATTCTTTTCTCCCTTCCCTGCCTAGCATCCTCCGCAAAGCGCTGGATAAGATAGCTGAGATCAAGTCTCTGTTGGAAGAGAGGCGGATTGGTGAGTGGGAGAAAACGCAGGGCATTTCTTCATCAGGCAAGGTGGGGGCTTGTGGGACAATAGTCATGGCTCCTAGCAGGGGGAACATGGGACCTAATTGGTAGCGTCACCCCACAGAGCTGTATGACATGGAGGCAGTTTGCCTTGCTCACTCAGCAGAGCTGGTCATCTCTTTCCTTCCTGTACTGCTTCTCTATGGCATGCTGTGGTGACATCTGTCACCTTTTATATTCCCAGGCCAGCTATACATTTGAAACTTGCTTAGCCCCTGGCCATCCAGGTTTCCTCAGGTTCCATTGCCTTGGCTTCCTGACCTCTGCCTTGCCCCAGAGGCAACTCTCTACCCCTAAGTGTGATCATGGCAGCGTTTCCAGAGGCAACTCTCTACCCTAGTGTGATCATGGCAGCCTTTTTATTTGTTTCAGTTGAAGAGGGTGATGAGCTATGTATGAGGAAGCCAAGGATCCACACTAGATAATTTGTACAACTTTTGCTAAAATTACATGCATTGGTAGAAAGGAGAGCGACATAGTATATCATTACAGGAATTTTCATTGGCCCAGCACCTCAGTCAGGGAACAGAATACAAGCTGCATCCTGGAAGGCACCCTGTGCATTGTTTTAGTTCCTCTCCATGAAGGTGTCCACTGTCTGACATCTCACTCACTTGTTAGTTAGACCTGTCAGTCAATTCCTTAGGCTCAGCCTTAGACATCTGTTAAGAAGGAATGTGGATGAGTTGGGGAGTCCTGGTATAAAGTGCTCCAGCTCAGGGCAGTTGCTGGGCTGTGACTGGGTGAGGTCTCCTGCACAGGGCCTCAGGGGTTCACTTGCTTTCCACAGCGGCCAAGATCGCAGGTCTCTACAATGACTCAGAGCCCCCACGGAAGACCATGCGCAGAGGGGTGCTGATGACGCTGCTCCAGCAGTCCGCCATGACTCTGCCCCTCTGGATCGGGAAGCCTGGTGACAAGTGAGGGCAGGAACTAGCCAGAGAGGGCTGGTGTTGGGGGGGCCAGACTAACAGGCTTTCTCTACAGGCCCCCACCCCTCTGTGGAGCCATTCCAGCCTCAGGGGACTATGTGGCCAAACCTGGAGACAAGGTGGCTGCTAGGGTGAAGGCTGTGGAAGGGGATGAGCAGTGGATCCTAGCTGAAGTAGTCAGTTACAGCCATGCTACCAACAAGTGAGTGTGTGCCTGACTGCATTCATACCACACCAGCTTCTGCAGCATGGGAGGAAAACTTCCCACAGGGTGCTGGGTGGTGCTCCCTCAAGCTTCTTCAGCCCCTTTCCATCCTCTTTCAAACCCCACTTCCAGATATAAACTGTGCCCTTTGTTCCAGCACTGTTTCCCTTCTGTTTGCCCACAGGTATGAGGTAGACGACATTGATGAAGAAGGCAAAGAGTGAGTGTCCAGGTGGGGAGCAGGGGAGTCACCAAGCTTCTGAGTGAAGCTTCCCTGGTCATGGCCTATATTGTTCCCCAGGAGACACACCTTGAGCCGTCGGCGCATCATCCCACTGCCCCAGTGGAAAGCTAACCCTGAGACAGACCCTGAGGCCTTGTTCCAGAAGGAGCAGCTGGTGCTGGCCCTATATCCCCAAACCACCTGCTTCTACCGTGCCCTGATCCACACCCCACCACAGAGGGTAAGGAGCCACGATGAAAGGTCTTTGATGACACCAGACCATTAAGAGGTAGTCCTCTTCGTTCTTTAGGATGCTGCCTTCTGTCTTGCTGCCCTTCATCTCTTACACAGACTTCCCTGGTAGTACCAGACCCTTGACTCCAGAGTAGAGAGGAAAGCCAGACAGGTGGGGAGACACGTCTAGGGCTCAGGCAAGGAGAGACTACCCTGGCCTAGAAGCACCTTGACCCTCCCTATGTGTATCCTCAGCCTCAGGATGACTACTCAGTCCTGTTTGAAGACACCTCCTATGCAGATGGCTACTCCCCTCCCCTGAATGTGGCCCAGAGGTACGTGGTGGCTTGTAAGGAGCCCAAGAAAAAGTGAATCGGGCTGGCAGGCTTGAATCTGCCACTGCCAACCTCATGGGAGAAGGCAACAAAGGAGTTCCTATGATCAAATAAATACTCTTCCCTCTCACCGTGTCTCCTGGGCCTCACTCGTCAGACCCTCTTGCCCTCCTCCATCAGGCACGTGGGATTGATGGGCACAAGAGGGAGAAGGTCCTGTCAGCTCCCAGTGGCATTTATTTTTTCAGGTAAAATACAGTTTATCTTACTGTTTTTGCATGTTTGTACTTTCAGTTCTTTTTCAGTGTTAGGACTGATTGCTTTCCTGACTGGTGTTGATAAAACCCTCTAACCAATTCTCATCCCCACCCTATTCTTAGTTCAGATTTTCACTAGGCATTCGACAAGTAGATTGAACACATCACATTTTACTTTTGAGATCATGGTGGGCTGTGTCAGCTTGCCTAGGTTCCCAGTATAGCCATATCCACTCACAGTTCACAGCGGAACGTGAAGTCACAGCCTTTCATTGTCTTAGCATAGTGAGCATCAAAGCGCTCATTCTGGGCTACAGTGAAGGTATTTTTCCAGTCCCCAGTGGTACCTGAACAGAGATAAAGAGAGGGAAAGAGAGAGGGAGGGAGAATATATTAACAGCCACGGGAGAGGACCTTTGTGACTCTGAAGATTTTACTGGCTACACCAAACCTCCCTTCCTCAAATACTTCAAATGCCCATCCCAGTCTACTACCCACCTTTTCTCATGAAGGGAGAAACATCGTGGTCCATAACGTCACTGGGGATGGTTGTGTAATTAGTCATGGGGTTCTCCTTCATTTTCTTGAAAGATGTGTGGTGAACAATGAAATCCACAGTCTCCTCAGGTAGAGAGTGCCCCAAAAACTCAAGGATCTTCTTGATCTCCCTTTTGGGGTTCTGGAGCAGGAAGAGGATCTCAGTTGAGTTGCTCAATAGAGTAAGGTTGGAGGGTCACCTGCAGGCAGCAGGTCACTTCTAAGGAATTCTCAGACCTGGTGCCTTGACTCTGAGCCTCTTACCCTGGGGTAAAACAGGTAGCTTCCTACCCTGCCATCTTGGCATGATCACTGTGGGTTCCTTCTGGGAGAGGATGGGGACAGACTTTGATCGCTACTGCCCACAAGCAACAAGAACAGCAAGCCACCAGATCAGTGGTAGCACTTATGACTGACACGTACTGCATGATAAGGGCTGTGCAGTGTTCTCTGTGGGCTGTGCTGTGGTCCTGATCAGGAGGTAGGACAGGAAGTGCTGGTTTGCAGTGGGGCTAGGATGGGACGGGGCTCAGAGGGCCAGGGCAGGGCCAGGTAAGGCTCCTGCCCAGCAGGCGTGGCACAGAAGGAAGTGGGGGCAGCGGGCTCACCTCCTTTATGTCTTCATAGAAGAGATAGAGAACAGGGTGAGTGTGTCTCAGCTCCCACCACTCGTTCACGTGCTGGTACCATGACCCATAGGACACTGAAAGAAGACAGGGCGTGAGCACAGGCCTCGTCAGCCACAGCTGAGCCCCTCAGGTCCAGCCCCTCCTTGCTGCAGACTCACACCCACCTTTCCCCTCCATGAAGTTCTCCAAGAAGCTGTCCCAGGTGCCTGGGTCAGGGTGCACCTTGGCCATGTTGTAGAAGTTGTAATAGGAGACAACCACATCCTTTGCATTCCGGGCAATGTAGATCACCTGCAGGGGAAGACCACACCCAGTTCTGGTTTCTTCTCTTGCTTTCCTGTCACTCTTCCTAAGACCGAGTTAGGTGGTGGGACCTTATACCACTTGGGAATTCCCAGCACTTCTTTTTGGGATGGCAGAAGAGAAAACAGGACTGCCTGTTGAGTTGTTGAGATCTCACTGTATAGGCAGGCATCATTGTCCTAAGATTGTCCATTCTCTGATAACAAAGTCCCAGCTATTCCTTGAACTGCTTCATCTGACTCCTTTGTTGTCAGCACATCACATGGTAAGTCAGAGTCCCATCAGCCTGTTCATCTATGTCCTATGCACACCTAGATTCTGCATCTCTAATTTGCATGGAAGAGTTCCAGTTTCCTTGTTATCTGAGCCCTTCCAGAGTGACAGCCAGGAACCCTCCATATGAGATGAAACAGGGCCTGAGAAGTCCCACAATTCCCAGCAGATCTAACCAAAGCAACGATGAGCAGCAAAGCCCCTTGCCTCCTCTCACCCTCCCCCTTCCATTCCTTCTTTCTTTTTCTGTCTTTGAGTGAGACATGGTCTTGAACTTGCTGTATAGTAGATGCTCCCAATCCTTCTGTCTCTATTTCCCACATGCTGGAAGGTACTAGCATAACTGGGGATTTTTGTTGTCTGTTTGTTTTTACCTTGACCTTCTGATCCAGCAGACTCTGAGGGATCAAGGACAGCGGCAGATGTGTCTTAAGGAGCCGTGGGGCTGGTGTCTCTTCCAAAGTTTCAAGACCTGAGTTGAACAGGGAACTTTGTAAAACTGGGGCCTGGTTCTACCTTTCTCCACTTGTTTCTAGCACCCCCATGCGCATACCTGAGGGAACCCCTGGGCATTTGAACTCAAGGAAGGGTACCCGGGCATAGATAGGGGCCCGGCCACACTTATCTAGCTTGCCATTCTGATAGATCATATCCACGATCTCACTCATCCAGGTAGTACCTGGAAAGGGGGGAGAAAGAGGTGAGCTGGGCTCAGGGTCATGACTGCCCACCAAAGTGTGTATGCTGTGGGAACCACTGCTCACCAGACTTTGGGTATGTGCTGATGAGCAAGTCATCAGGCCAGGCTGTGAGGTTCTGCAGTGGCCCAACTGCCTCTGCAAAGTATTTGATGAGTGGGACACTCTTCACATGCACCAGTGGTGGACGGGAGGACTCCATGTTGCTGCATTGAGAACAGAGTAAAACTCACTTTTCTAGTAAGTTCACAGTACCATGTGCTGAATCATTTAAGATTGGGATCCTGAGGCTTTGGCAAGCCCACCAAGGTGGCAGGTGGATCTGGGATCAAAGGCAAATCTATCTCCACCAAAAGTCACTACTGTGCCATACTTCTGCTCACCTGTGGAATGTTCCACGTCCCTAGTGCCCAAGCATACATAGTCCAGGCAGTAAAGCACCCTCAGGTAGAATCAGTACAATGTTGGATGTTTCCCAGTGTATTCCAGTACGAATATAAGAAAACGTTGGGCACCAGCTGAGTCTCTTTACTCCTACCTGGTACAGCTGTCAGTCCATGGCCTCTTCCCATTTTTTTTTCCCTTGGACTTCCTGTTACCTTTAGAAATGCCTCAGCCCATCTAGAACTGATAGGGTATTTTGCTCTGAGACAAATATAAACAATGTAGCTATTAAGCTTGTTGCAGGGTAGGGAGAGAGTTTGTATTAAAATGAAAAGGATTCTAAAACCAGCCAGAGAGGGGAGGGGAACAAGCTACAGTTGTTCTTCTGAGGTGGGGTATGCATGGGGAAAGCAGAGAGGCTAGAGGCACAGGCAGTGGTCAGGTAGACTAAGTTTAAGGACTAACTGGCAGTTGAAGAATGCTGGAATCAATATCTGGGTAGGACAAGGTGGCTACCCCACTCTGCCACTCACCTGATCCTGGGGTTCTTAGCCCTTCTTCCCAGTGCAGAGTGGAAGGGATCTTTGTGTAGGTGTTGCAATGTGGGGAATGCAGAATTGGTCTTTGAGCTGAAGATTTTGTGTCCCAAGTGGGAGGGAGTGGAAACAGTGCTAGCACTGGCTATTCTCCAGAAACAAAAAAGGGAGTAGGTGGAGTGGGGTGGAGTTCTGTCACCCCTACTGCGGACTGTGGGTTTAGCCTGTTCAAAGCAAATCAAAACAAAGCCAGGCAGAAGGCTACAAGGGGGGGTAGATTTATTTCATTCTGCTTCTGGCTCCTTCCTAACTCACCTAAACTTCAGGTAGATCAATGGGGCTTTTCTAATTAACCCACCCTAGCAAAGGGAGGAAAGTAGCCAGATGGGGACAGAGCATTCACACACCTGCTGGCTCCAAGCCAGTCTTGAGGACACCTTGGGCTTAGATCAGAGCAACCACAGCAAAACCTGGAACCTCTGATGTCAGGGAAAGTCCAGAGTGATGGGAAGGAGCAAGGTCAGGGAACTGGAGGTGCAACAGAATTGGAGGTGTGTTCATGGGAGCTGAGTCTAAAGGCCCTAGAAGGTGCCCCTGCCTTCACGGCTGCTCGGCTGCCTCATCCAGTACCACACATGACTCGTGACGATTGGTCCCTAGAAAGACTTTCACCCCCTGGACTTGCAAGTGGCTCTGTAAAGACAAGAGGCTGGAGCTGAGAGAGACAAAGCTCCAGGAGTGAGGAGACCCCTGCCCCCTTGACCTTTGTCTTCTGTTGAGTGAAGATGCAACATCAAGCTGCACTGGAGCTGCAGAGGCTCCTGCATCACAGCTGTGCGTCTCCTGACCCTTACAGAGTCGCCATCTCAGAAGAGCTGTGCACAGCCAGGCAACAGACAAGACTTCCCGGTTCTCATTGGAATTTTGTTTGTTTGAGACTCTGTAGACTGATGACACGACCGCTCCAAGCTGTGATTGAGGGGAAGGATTTTATTGTAGATGCGGGGCGGAGTTTGGCCATAGACATCTGGAAGAGTCCAGAAAGAAGTGACCAGAAGACTGGACTTGGCCATGAGAAGTGGGTTTGGGCCTGGGATTGTAGGAGATGAAGACAAAGAAAAGGGCTTGATGAACGAGGGTTGGGGGTATACATAACTGAAATGGCTGGGTTATAAGGACAATGGGAAGCTGGCAGAAAGGAAGATTCTGAGCTAGGGGAGTTTAGGGTCAGAGTTGGAGTTAGAAGAGCCAAGATGCCAGCATGGACTTTGGAATGTGTAGCAGGTACTTGGGATACTGAAGGAGCCTGGAGCTGCTAGCATGCACTTTAGTATGCTCCGAGGCCCCACAGATAGCCATCTCTCCCTTCAGCCAGTGATAAGGAAATGGCTCCTTTAGTAGAGAGGAACTGCTTCTCAAGTTCCAGAAGAATGCTGGCTTTGGACCTGACAGAGCAAAGGTCTCACACTGTAGCCTTGGCTCCAATTCTGCTGCAGCCTCTCAAGCGCTAGATTTCCAGGTGTAAACACCTGGAAAGATTTCTGTTCTCGGAATGATTATGCATCACTACAGGAGCTCTGCTGCCACAGGAAGACCTCGTATCCCAGGAGAGACCACACCCTATGTGCTCGCTCAGCGCCTGGCTCCTCCCATCCACAGATGAGCTGGAGAGCATTTGTCTCCTTGGTTTTGAAGAAAACTGTAAATAGTTTCTCTGTATATTATGTCATCTTTATCTTGAGGGTGGGCATTGGGATCCAGTGCCAGGCATTAGAGCCAAGGGATCTACCGGGAGAGCCCTATGAAGAGAACTGGTTCCAGTGGAGAGGGGATCCACTCACAGACCTGGACAGCTGCAGAGAACTTGGTACCTAGAGAGGGCCACAAGCAGAGCAGAGCATCTGTGGAAGGACAGCGTCAAGTTGCATCTCAGAACTGTATGGTTCCCAACATTTTGCTCACAGGTTACTTACTGACTCTGGAAAGCTTGTTTGCTGGTACAGCTGCTGCCTGGGAAGTAGGGAGGATTAGAAGGATAAAGACAGGAGAGTATTGTGGACCAGCAAGGTATCTCAGATGGGCCGGATGGTGGTGGGGCATGCCTTTAATCCCAGCACGTGGGAGGCAGAGGCAGGCGAATTTCTGAGTTCGAGGTTAGCCTGGTCTACAGAGTGAGGTCCAGGACAGCCAGGGCTACACAGAGAAACCCTGTCTCGAAAAACAAAAACAAACAAGACAAAACAAAACAAAAAAAAGATATTTTAGATGGTAAAGGCACTTGCTGGTAAGCTTCATAGTCTGAGTTCAATCCACAGGCCTCTTACATGAAAGGCGAGAACTGACTTGAGTTTCCTATACATCTGCACAGGAACAATATATGTGTGTTACTTTTTTTTAATTTAAAATTCATCTCTTTATCCCCAGAACAAGCTTAAATCTAAATCTACATGTGACGTTTTGTGTGAGATGGCTTCTTGAGGAATCCATTTTGGCACTATGCACACTTTAAAGGTCTGTCTCTATCCTGGTTCTGTCTTTCTAGAGGCGTAGTGCTTGGGACTAAGATACTTATGGGTGTGTGTGTGCTGAAAACAAGAAATAATCACAAGTCAGTTAGTGTAGGGTTTTACTAGCCATAGCTCCTGGGAGGTCAATGTCTGTAAGGATCTGTGGATTAGGAGAAGGTTGGATAAATTCAATGAGAAGCTTGACTGCTGGTGGACCCACCTTCTCTAGCTGAGAGTAAGGTGACTGAAGACTGCCAGCTCTTAGAGGTGAGGGGCAGTCTACCTACCGTGTGTGTGTGTGTGTGTGTGTGTGTGTGTGTGTGTGTGTGTGTGT